ATATATATATATATATATATATATATTTATGAAGAAGTGTATGCATAACGCTCCTGTCTCTCCATAATGTCATCCGTTTAGAATCATTTATGTAACTTTTCCTGTATATTGTATATGATATGAAGGAACGAACATGAGACAAAGAGTTCAGAGTTTCTCACTGAATGTGTCGGTTGACGACAAGAGAGAAACAGTTGGAGTTTCTCACTGAATGTGTCGGTTGACGACAAGAGAGGAACAGTTGGAGTTTCTCACTGAATGTGTCGGTTGACGACAAGAGAGGAACAGTTGGAGTTTCTCACTGAATGTGTCGGTTGGCGGCAAGAGAGGAACAGTTGGAGTTTCTCACTGAATGTGTCGGTTGACGACAAGAGAGGAACAGTTGGAGTTTCTCACTGAATGTGTCGGTTGGCGGCAAGAGAGGAACAGTTAGAGTTTCTCACTGAATGTGTCGGTTGGCGACAAGAGAGGAACAGTTAGAGTTTCTCACTGAATGTGTCGGTTGGCGACAAGAGAGGAACAGTTAGAGTTTCTCACTGAATGTGTCGGTTGGCGGCAAGAGAAGAACAGTTAGAGTTTCTCACTGAATGTGTCGGTTGGCGACAAGAGAGGAACAGTTGGAGTTTCTCACTGAATGTGTCGGTTGGCGACAAGAAAGGAACAGTTAGAGTTTCTCACTGAATGTGTCGGTTGGCGGCAAGAGAGGAACAGTTGGAGTTTCTCACTGAATGTGTCGGTTGGCGACAAGAGAGGAACAGTTAGAGTTTCTCGTTGAATTGAAGCCACCTGTCTGCAAATTTTAGCTTGGAAGCGGTAACTTTATTTTGTGTGGATATAATTTAAAATAATATGCACTATTTTCTGCTTTAATAATCGTTGGATTCTACTGTTGGAATAGTGCGAAGATGCTGGAGGTTTAAGGTTGAAAAGATTATGCGCAACTCGTTGGGAAAGTAATGCTATGAAAGCAATGCTGTGAAAGTAATGTTGTGAAAGTAATGATGTGAAAGTAATGATGTGAAAGTAATGCTATGAGAGCAATGTTGTGAAAGTAATGCTGTGAGAGCAATGTTGTGAAAGTAATGCTGTTAAAGTAATGATGTGAAAGCAATGCTAGGAAAGTAATGTTGTGAAAGTAATGCTGTGAAAGCAGTGCTGTTAAAGTAATGAGGTGAAAGTAATGCTGTGAAAGCAGTGCTGTTAAAGTAATGAGGTGAAAGTAATGCTAGGAAAGCAATGCTGTGAAAGTAATGTTGTGAAAGTAATGCTGTGAAAGCAGTGCTGTTAAAGTAATGAGGTGAAAGTAATGCTATGAAAGTAATGATTTAAAGTAATGAGGTGAAAGTAATGCTGTGAAAGTAATGATGTGAATGTAATTATTTTCTTAACAAATTTAATTTATAAAAACGGCTCCTTCACCAAAAACTTTTGCCAACCCATGTGTCAGGGTGATGTGTCAGGGTGATGTCAGGGTAATGTGTCAGGGTGATGTGTCAGGGTGAAGTAACCAGGGTGGACAATGGACATGTTGAAGTTAAGTTGTCAGAACCGAGTTGACCGTGTGCGGCTTTGTCGGGGATGGAGTTGTTAGGGTGGAGTTGTCAGGGTGGGGCTGATACCATTTACCTGGGTGGAGTTGTCAGGGT